TTTTTTTTTTTTTTTTTTTTTTTAAAGATGACCGGTAAGGGGATCTCAACCCTTGGCTTGGTATTGTCAGCACCACGCTCAGCCAGTGAGCAAACCGGCCATCCCTATATGGGATCCGAACCCGTGGCCTTTGTGTTATCAGCACCGCACTCTACCGAGTGAGCCACGGGCCGGCCCGACACTTGTAGTTTTTAAAAAAAACATTTATAGGTAGCTTCAATTTTTTAATGTTCTTTTAAAAGTTTCTCAGTTTTGCAACTTTTCTTTCATATCCCACAGTGTGTTAAGGTTTATGTAAATTAGCATTTACAGTAGAAGGAAGGCCTCTTCCTGCCAACTATGAAGATTTTCTAAGCTTATTGGATATTTTTACAGTACATTTATTTCCAACAAAGGAAGGCCTCTTCCTGCCAACTATGAAGATTTTCTAAGCTTATTGGATATTTTTACAGTACATAAAGAGCAATTGGCTAATGGGAAAAAATGAAAAGATGCGTATCCTCACCAATAATCAAGGAAATGCAAAATAAAACTACAGAATATTTCACATCAAAAGTGGCAAAAATTCCGAAGTCTAACATTACCAATTGTTGACAAGTATGTGGAGGAAAAGAAACTCATACAAGTCACACTGCCACTCAGGAGTCGCAGTATTCATCCACTCTGGGAAAGTTTGTCTTTACTTAGAAAAGTGGAATATGTCATTCTACTTGTTGTACATGTGCACCTGGAGGCATAATGTTTGTAAGAACAAAAACAACTGGAAACAGCCCAAATGTCTGCCAACAATAGAACTGATGAATTGAGGTACATTTCAAACAGTAAAAGTGATTAAAGTACAGCAGCCAGAATCAACATGGATGAATCTCTAAAACAGAGTTGAGTGATACAATCAAATCCCAGAAGAACACATTCAGTATCATTCCATTTAAACAAAATTCAAAAAAACGTGCAAAATAAAATGTTTATGGTGTATAAGTGGCAATACTATAAAGAAAGTCAAGAAACTGATAAACACAAAATCCAGGATAGTGGAGAAGGGGGAAAGGGTCACAAGTACTCAGGGGGCTTCCATGGTGTTAGTAGTGAACTATTTATTAAATGGAGTGTTACCTATAAAGTGTTTGCTTTATTATTCTTTAAATGTTAAATGTGAAATAAACCTTTTTTATATAAAAGGTGAAATTATCCAATGAATGGAATCAAACAGAATGAGTATTGTAGCCTTTTTAGTCTGTCTCCATTCACTTAGCCTAATGCATTTGAGATTCATTTGTGCCTTTCAATGTTATCAGTCCTTTTTATTTCTTAGTAGTACCCCATTATATGGGTGTACCATAGTTTGTTTATTCATCCACCGGTTGAAGGACATTTGGGTTGTTTCCAGTCTTTGGAGATTATGAATAAAGTTGCTATAAACACTTGCATGCAAATTTTTGTGTGAACACAAATTTTCATTTCTATTGTGTAAATACCTAGGAGTGGGACTGCTGGGTCATATGGTTAGTATATGTTTAACTTTATGTAAAACTGCCAACTATTTTCGAAGTGACTACCATTTTGCATTCCCACCAGCATTGTATGCGGGTTCTAGTTGCACTGTATTCTTTCTAGCATTTTGCATTGTCAGTTTTTCAGGGGAAAAGGGCAATGTTGTTGTTGTTGTTTATTTGTAAATAATTTTTAATCTCAAAAGTAATACGTGCTCTTTGTAAAAAAATATGTGGGGCTTTGAGGCTCTGGATATACAGGGGAATGTGCATTTAGCCTGTGCCCCTCTCTGGATGTTTGAAGACCACAGGTCTTTTAACATTTTTGATTGTCAATAGAAAACTTTGACTAAGCAGGCAACAAATGGCTTTTGACACCACTGCAGAAAGTTTCAGGAATAGTTTAGCTTTGTGTTTTTGTTTTCTTTCTTGCCAAGAACCTGGGCCCTTTCCTGGGATTGTGGATATTTTTGGAGCTGGAGGTGGCCTTCTAGAGTATCGAGCTAGTCTGCTGGCTGGAAAGGGTTTTGCTGTGATGGCTCTGGCTTATTATAAGTATGAAGACCTCCCCAAGACCATTGAGACCCTCCACCTGGAGTACTTCGAAGAAGCTCTGAACTACCTGCTCAATCACCCTGAGGTTAGATCTTCCCTAAGTTTTAGGGAGTACGTAGGTCTCCTCCTCATGCTCTTAGTTTTCATAGAAATTATCTCATTCATAACAGTCACTCCTTACCCCAGCATACACTACTTTTTTCTGGTGACTGGCCAGTGCAGGGATTGGAAAACCCTTGAATCTTTTATGGTCACTTCTCATGGACAGTTTCTATGCAATTCTATATTACTGCAATGTATTTCCTGCTAGTAAAGATGTTCTTAATTGATATTATGGAATTTTAAATTCCAGTACATTCTAGTATTTCATAAAGAGCCCAAACACATTTGAGAACTCTGGGATTGACAGGCAAAGTAAAGGGAAAGTAGAGTAGACAGGAGTTACTGTCTCCAGACAGTAAGCTGCCAGCTTAAGTGTTTTACAACCTTCCTTCTCCTGTGCCCCGTGAGAGCACAGGATTAAGTTTGAAGGAGGAACCTGGTGGCCAAAACTTGGGTACCAGAAATGTTTTGAGGTTAACAGACTCAGCATATCAGAGGATCAGAAGATAAACCTTGCTTATTTCATAAATCAATAAGAGCTTAAGGTGGATGGAAGCACTGTGAGCTCTTCGAAAAGGTGATAGGGTATAGTGGAACTAGCAAAAGATGTATACAGAGAAAAGTTAAGTTTGGGATTTGATTTTGCCAATTTCTAACTCCATGACCTTGGTATCTTTGTTTCCTCCTTTGAAGGATTGAAAAATATCATTTAACTCCTAGTATTTTTGTGAGAAATAAATTGTTGAAACCCATCCATGATACTGTTGTGGCAGCCACGAGGAAAAAAAAGACTGCTGTAGAGAGGTCAATCAAATGTCTGTTTGTTTACAACATAGAGGACATTGGTAACTGTGACAAGAGCAGTCCTTGGGAATGGTCCAAACCTAGACTACCCAGGAGGGGCTTGAATAGAGAATGGAAGCCAAGAAAGAGCAACTACAGATAACTTTTCCCACAAATTTTGTTGTGAAAGGGAGTAGAGAACTAGTGCAGGAACTGAAGTGGATGTGGGGTCAAGGGGAAGTCAATAAAATGTAAGAGATACTAGAGCATGGAAGTACACTAATGGAATGAGCCTGTACAGAGAAAGTTATGAAGGAGAGGAGAGGAGAGAGAGAGAGAGAGAGAGAGAGAGAGAGAGGATGTAATTGTGGGAGAAAAGTCCTCGAGAATAAGAACGGACGGGATCCTAACTGCAAGTAGAGGTGTGGTCTTTAACAAGAACAGAGATACTTTTTTGGAAACAGGAGGGAAGGCAAAGAGCTTGAGTTCATGTGGAAGTAGGTACATTTGGCAGTGAGAAAATGAGATGTTCCTACTGGATAGCTTGTTTTCTCAATGAAGTACGAAGACCTGAAAGTGCAGGGGAATATGGGGGTTAAAGGAGCTTGAGGAAGTAGGAGAAAGTTTGAGTGGTCTTTAGGAGAAATGGAAAGCAAACATGCCAATAAGGTATGGCAGGATTGATGGACAGTGTGGATGCTCATTTGAAATTTGTGGTCATGAAATGAAAGTAAGGTCAGTCAGCACCAATGTGTATTTTTTTCCTCCAGCAATGTTTATTGCACACATCCAGGCCTGGAGAAAGTTGAATAGGTGGATTTAACCAGTGTTAGCACTATTCCAGGCCAGTATGACTAAAGGAAGAGAGGTTAAGACTGTTTGCAAGAGAGTGATTATACTGATAAAGCATGACATCTAAGCTGGAGGAGGTGGGAGAACATGAGATATTGATAGTGAAAAAGTGGTAGTCAAGGTTTCAAAGAGGTGGAAACAGGTGTCACTAGAATGGCTAAAGTGAAAGTATTGAGGATGGTGATCAGAGAGTGGAATGATTGACCTAAGACTTTGAAGATGATGTACTTACTGATGATGACTAGGTTTAGTTATGACAATGGAAGTGGGTCACTCAGGTGGGATAAACAAGATCATTGGAGGTATGGAGGTCAAGGAACTGAGAGGCCAATGTATTTGATAGATCATCCACATGGTTGTTGAAGTCACTAAGAATGGGTGATGGAGAAATTGTGGAAAGCAAGATGCAGGGAAGGATAAGTAAATTTACTGAGGCTGCAAACCTGGGTAAACGGTGGAGCCCAGATTCAGGTCCAGGTCCACCTGACTTCCAAGGGTGGGCACTACCCACCACACTACACTGTTCATGGACTCATTCTCCTTTTTCTTCTGTCCTTTTCTCAGGTAAAGGGTCCAGGAGTTGGGCTGCTTGGAATTTCCAAAGGGGGTGATCTCTGCCTCTCCATGGCCTCTTTCCTGAAGGGCATCACAGCTGCTGTCATAATCAATGGCTCTGTGGCGAATGTTGGAGGAACCTTACACTACAAGGGTGAGACCCTGCCCCCTTTAGGCATCAACAGAAATCGAGTCAAAGTGACCAAAGATGGCTTTTTAGACATTGTGGACCTCCTAAACAGCCCTTTGGAAGGACCTGACCAGAAAAGCTTCATTCCTATAGAGAGGGCAGAGAGCACCTTCCTGTTCCTTGTAGGTCAGGATGACCACAACTGGAAGAGTGAGTTCTATGCTAATGAGGCCTCTAAACACTTACAGGCCAATGGGAGGAAAAAGCCCCAGATCATCTGTTATCCAGGGGTGGGGCACTATATTGAGCCGCCTTACTTCCCCTTGTGCCAGGCTTCCCTGCACACCTTGGCGGACAGTCTCGTCATCTGGGGAGGGGAGCCCAGGGCTCATGCCATGGCCCAGGTGGATGCTTGGAAGCAACTCCAGACTTTCTTCCACAAATACTTGGGTGGTGAAGAGGGGACAACACCAGCAAAACTGTAATTTTTATTTGATAGTGTGGCATCTCTGACGCTCCCCCTGGGAACACCAGCCACAATTAGTGTGTGTATGTGCATTCCTTTTTTCTTTTTAATAAATACTTAGGGTTTTTCCCCCCTTGCTGTTAAAATGAACTTACCGGTAAGAATGGGTTTTTAAGATTTTTATAAACTGTACACCTTATCAGTTTGGGAAGGGAGTGATTTTGCAGAAAACAGGAGAGGTAGAAAAAGTGTACCTCTTTCTGTCTCACAACACACAACTGATATGGTTTAGCTCTGAAAGGAAATGTGAATAACACCAATTAACAGTGCCTGGTACATAATTAGAGTTCAACAATTATTTGCAGAATGATTAGTAAACAAATGATTACCTACTGTGGAAGAAAAGCATATAATAACAAAACTGTTACATATTAGATTTGAGTTTCTCCTTTAAGAATGGAGTTAACATAGCAATAAACTGATTACTAGTTAAATATAAAACTACTAGAAATTTTCAAAGCAAATACATTTTTATTTCTTTGATATTTTCTCCTTGGATGAATAAAGATTCTCCTAGTGCCCTGAGTGGAGTTACCTTCCCTACTCTGGCTGGGTCATCCCAGAGCAAGCCATTTTAACTCTCTGAGCCTCTTTTCCTCCATCTGTCAAATGTGGCTGGCAGTGCCGGCAAAAGAATCCAGTGGCGTGGTGGGGGTGAGCACTGTTTGCATGTGAGATGTATGATGTTCCTGCAACCCCCTGTCCTCCCCCACTCTTCCCTGACCTTCCCCTCCTCCATATCTCCTTTGGGGAGGGCTGGGGAAAGTGGATAAAACAGTAATTCATTGTCTGTCCAGAAGACTTTTGTTGTCTTTGGTGGCTAATCAAGGGTTAGGTAAGAAGGATTAGAAAATTTAAGTTTTAGTGGTGAGAGATGAACAGGCACCCATCAGAGTTTCACGTTTCTAATTCGGGCACTTGGAGGGATGTTAGAATGGATATTTGTTTTGGATAAATTGATTTGAGGTAACAATAGTCAACACCAGTGTAACAATAGTCCACAATGTATTGTATATTTCAAAATAGCAAGAGAGGGGCCGGCCTGGTTGTGCACTGGAGAGTGCGCTGCTTGGGAGCGCAGCGGCGCTCCCTCCGAGGGTTCGGATCCCATGTGGAGACCGGTTCCTGCTCACTGGCTGAGCGCGGTGCGGGCGCAACACCGAGGGTTGCGATCCCATTGCTGGTCAGTAAAAAAGACAAAAAGGAATAAAAAAAAAAAAAATAGCAAGAGAGGATTTTAAGTGTTCTCACCACAAAGAAGTGATAAATCTGAGGTGATGGATATGGCAGTTATCCTGATTTGATTATTATATATTCACATTGTATGCATTTATTGAAACAACACACTGTACCCCATGAAAATGAACAATTATTTTGTCCATTCAAAATAAATTAAAAAATAAATTTGACAGAAGAGATAAGAACAAGCTTTTTTTTGCATGTTAAGTAATACTTGGAATTTATTGGCCTCTGTGTGTACCCCATGAAAATGAACAATTATTTTGTCCATTCAAAATAAATTAAAAAATAAATTTGACAAAAGAGATAAGAACAAGCTTTTTTTTGCATGTTAAGTAATACTTGGAATTTATTGGCCTCTGTTATTATTTATAAATATTTTTATTAAAAAGAAAAAAAAAAGAAGATTTAAGTTTTACCCACTGGGGCCAAAGTTCAGATATTTAGCAGAACAAAGATTGTGAAAGCTTCTTGGAAAGGTTTGAGAATGTATTCCAAAGGACTTTGAGTTGGCTCCACTTTTGCTCAAGCTGTGCCCCTCACCTGGAGTGCCCTTGCCCACCCTTCCTGCATGACCTTCTCCTCTAGTAGGCCTGAATGTATTCCAAAGGACTTTGAGTTGGCTCCACTTTTGCTCAAGCTATGCCCCTCACCTGGAGTGCCCTTGCCCACCCTTCCTGCATGACCTTCTCCTCTAGTAGGCCTTCCCAGCCCAGCTTGCCCTGCTTTTTCTCCTCTGGTTTTCTTAGCCTGTTACACAACTAAACACATTAAGTGTGAGTCCTGTGTCCAGTAAGAATCTAGAGCCAGAGCTGTGTCATTTTATCTCTTTGTGCCCACATGGAACCTTGTCAGCAAGCTGAGCCATGTTACTTTGCCCAGCTCTTGGTGAGGCACATGGATTACAGATAGGTACAGCTGGGCCCTGTGAAGAGAAGCTCCCGGGCTGTCAGGGGAGACAGCTGGGCGGCAAGTGTGGGGAGAGAGGAATGAAGAAGGCTGCAGCTGTCCGCAAAGACTTAGGCTCCAAAGGCCACACAGTAAGCCCACACTAAATATGAGTTGTTTGAAGTCCCATCAGTCATAGATGCCCAAGATGTCAGAGTTGGCACGCACTTTGTAAGGCATCTGATCCAACCTCTTATCACTTAAACAATATGTAATTATAGCATTGTTAGAAAATACTGGCAAGCATCAAAAGAAAAATTAAAAATATCTAATATTACCCAATGATGACCACTGTTAATTTTCATATATATTTCCAGATTTTTCTTTCCTATTCATATTGATCACATCTATTTTACAAAAGTTCGGTCATTCTGTAAATACTAATTTGTAACTTGAGAAGACTTTATTTTGTTATTATTTTTTTCTTGCGGCTGGCCAGTATGGGGATCCCAGCCTTTGACTTTGGTGTTACAAGGCTGTACTCTAACCATCTGAGCTAACCAATCAGCCCCTAAAAGGAAAGGGTGGTCAGAGAAGATTTTATTTTATTATTATTATCATGTGTTCTAATTTGTAACTTGGAATCATACTGTTTTGTAACCTGCTTTTTTCTCCTCCAAACAATATGCTGTTAACAGCTCTCCCCATCAATTAATATTCTACTCAATATCTTAATGGTTATGTAGTATTTCATTGAGTGTTAAACCAAAACATATTTAATCAATCCTTTATTGTTACTCATTTATGTTTATAGTTTTTTTTTTTTTTTTGCTATTATATGCAATGGTGAAATGAATTTCTTTGTGAATGTCTTCTTTCCTTCCTTTAAATTCCTAGAAGTTAAATTACTTCATCAAAGGAACTGTCCAGGTGTCTGGTAAACACATTTCTGGATTGCCTTCTAGAAACATTGTACTAATTTATACACACTGACCGGCATTGTGTAGCAACAGGTTCTCCATACCCAGATAACTCTTGGTATTTTTATTGTTTTGCACTTTTACCAGTCTGTTCATCAATAAATTCTGTCATCTTTATTGTTTAAAAAAAAAACAAGACAGATTCTCCTAGTGCAAATAAATTTTAAGTTATGTATAAACACAGAGACCCTTAGGATTTGTTTCAAAAGCTGGTAAAACATTATTTAGATAAATTACATGAGTGATTTTAACAATGATAAACATGAAAACAAATGATAATTTAATATTTGTATCATTTGATACAAATTTTTCTTAAACCTTAATTGTATTTAAAGAAAAAAATAACTTATGATTATCGTGTTGTTTCCTTTTCTTTTTTAATAAAGCAATTCCTGACGTTTTTTTCCCTGAAACTCAGAAAAAAATAAAGTGCTCTTTTTGTTTTGTCAGATTTTTTCCTATACCACCATGTGCTTATTATTTAATCTTTACCAGTCAATGAGGCAGGTTTCATCTTCATTTTCTAGATGAGGAAACCAAGACTCAGAGAAGTCCTTTGCATACTAAATGTAGAGCTGGTGCTCAGTATCACCAAACCCATATTCTTCATTTACTAAGCTGCTTCCCTTATATCTGTGGTTCTTCATTATATTTGGGCACAGAGCCATGTGTCTATTAATTTCAGCCATTTCTTGATAGACCCATCTGTGCCATAAAGAGAATGCACAGTATTTTGTGATTTCAGGTGTATTCATGAACCCCCTAAAGCCTTCCCATGGTCTCTGCAGGACAGTAGCCCCAGGGAAAGGAAATGGCTTTTCTTTCACCCATATAAGCTTTGAGAATTCCTGGATTTGGGGGTGGGGGGTTTGTTTCAAGGCACCATGTGTTAAATATACATGTCCACCTAAATAACAGAGACTCTAAAAGAAAGTGACTGTTCTGGAATGGGCACTGCAATGGGAATACACGTACCATAGTAAACTATGTGTGTATTCAGGGACGTAAAGACAAAGGTTTTTAAAGGAAAAATGAGGGAGGATTCTATAATTTTTGAGATAATTATCCTTGGCTACAAGGATCAATAACAAGGGTGGCACCAGTTGGAGGTTGGACAGGCAGTTGCTGGGCAGATGTCCTCGCATAAGTACTGTGTTGTATAAGCTTGCAGTGTCCTTTGTGCAAGGTTGTAGTTTTTGCAGTCTTTTGTGATAGTTTTTGTTATCAGGCATTTGTGCATGAGAACCCCCACTTCACAGTCTTCCCTGGCTCCATGTGTCAGAGTTAACACAAGTGACTCCATTTTGATGCTGACAATTTTCATACATAAAAAATAGATCTTTAGATCATTATATAATATATGCATGTATTGAAACAACAAGCTGTACCCCATAAACATGTACAATGAAAATTATTTTTGATGGGTGGCCAGTACAAGGATCCAAACACGTGTCCTTGGTGTTACCAGCACCACACACTCCCAAGTGAGCTAACTGGCTGCCCCCCAAAAAAATTTTTTTTAAAAAAAGAGTAGATCTGGAAGGAGTAGATCTGGGGCCGGCCCATGGCTCACTCGGTAGAGTGCGGTGCTGATAACACCAAGGCCGCGGGTTCAGTACAAGGATCCAAACACGTGTCCTTGGTGTTACCAGCACCACACACTCCCAAGTGAGCTAACTGGCTGCCCCCCAAAAAAATTTTTTTTAAAAAAAGAGTAGATCTGGAACCATGTTTAAGCCCTGGCCTTGATGCAATAGTATGGTTTTGGAGGAGGTATATGGATGACAATCAGCTCAAAAATGCCTACAGCCCTTCCCTTTATTATTAACAATGTATATGGGATTTCCCCTTCTTTTTTTCCTCTTTCTTCTCTTTACTTTCCTCTTTCCATTCTTTCCTGTCCTTGCTATATACATCAGACAAGAGTAAGCATGATACTCTAAGGCACTTCAAGAAATCTTGCTGTTTATTACCCTGGAGTGTCAGGCTTCTCTAGA